CACCACTTCCTACATTGGCCCTTTGCTCTTCATTCCTGACATCAACATGCCAAATCCTGTTCTTTTCAGCCCATGCCTTCCCTACTCCCATCATCTTCTAAAGGTTTCTGCTCTCTCCTAACTCTAGTGCACCCTCTCAGGAGCATCAGATAAATCCTCCTGACGACACCTATTTCTACATGGCTTTTGTTGCGTCCATGAAAAAGAAAGCCCAAATCTCTCAACAGAGCATTTAAGGGACTCCACGACTTGATCCTGCCTACCTTTCCATAACCACAAACCCAATAACCTTTCAAACTACTCTACTTTTTGTGCTTCACTCTTGAGCACACTGCACACAACTTCCCCTTTGTGTCTTTCTTCTAACGATCCTCCTGGAAATGGGCATGTTATCCTTCCCTCAAGCCCGAATACATCTTTCTCTTTCACTATAAAGTCTTTCTTGACTACCACAAGAGAATACTTTCTCTCTTCACCGAATGACAAAAGTACTTTGTGGCTGTATGTTCTTTGTGCCATTTGAATAAGTAATCTGCAGTAAGTATTTGATGTATAGTATATTTTAGCTCTTGAATTAGATTAAGCTGTTTAAAGGTTGGGATCTTATATTGCCGGTTCCCAGCAGTATTGCACAGTGATTCAAAATCTTTGAATCCTCTGTTGCCAGACCTTAGGAATATTCCCATATATATATGTGTATATATATATATATATATATATATATATATATATTCCGATGTTTAGTGTCACTTTTATTGAGATGGTATTCTTTGGGACATGATCTAAATACAGAATGAAGTATTTGGCTTTATACAGCAAAGTTCTGTCAAGAATTTATTTAAATACAAATAATTTTTACTTCTTTATTGTGTATTAGATGAGAATTCTATATGTCCAATGGGTTAGAGAGTGAGATTCTTATGTGACTAACATCTCCAAAGACTGCTTAACATTAAAAAAAAAAAATGAACCCTGTTCACCAAATGTTCTTTTGTACAATGTAATTAACAATTTTATTCTCTATATAATTATAGCTATAAATAATCAATCAACTTTTCATTTGCTTAAACTCAGATTTTTACTTTGAATATTTCCTTCCCCATTAAGAACATGCTTATAAACATTGAAAATAGAAATCCTATTGTAATTCTGAAATGTTTGCATCAATAATTTTAGAAACATGAATCATCTATCGAGAAAAAAACATGAAGTAGAATAATTTGTTATGTATTTTATAAATGAAGTACAAATTCATGACAATCCTAAGATAAAGGTCAGTCAGCTACATCTCAGTGAAACTATTTAATCTATTTACACAGTTGTAGTATATATATGTATGTATACACACATAAATTAATATATGTAAATTAATATATATGTATACATTAATAGAGCTAAGGAAAAGAATGGTAGACATATATTCCTTCAATAACTATAGTAATAGTTTAGCACAATTCCAAAATAATGAACCAAAAATTTTCAGCCCTAAAGTTTGTTACATGAGTTAGAACATTATTATAATCAATACTTTGAGGCTTGCATAATGAGAACACAATGTATACTGTAATTGCATTACTAACAGGAAAAAATCACTTGTTTAATCATTGTTAACTCAAGGGCAGACAGATATTTACTTTTCTACTCAAAATGCATGATAAAGTAAATGGTGTTCATAAATGGTTTTGAATTGTTAATAAAAAGTTTACCAGATGCGTAATTTAGACCATAAATGGGTCCTTGTATCCAGTGCAAGTGGCAAGAAAGACAAATGGAGAAAGTTTACTGTATTATAATATGCAAAACTATGTTCTTTACATATAATTTGTATCCATTTCTGAATTTTTCTTAAAAGGAAAAGAAATAGAATAATTTACAAACTATATTTTAAAAACTTAAGTTATCTACTTTATGACCTTCAATAATGCTTTTTTAAATAATGTGGTTTAATTTTTCTGCTTAGCTATTATTACATCTAGCATCATTACATTTATTTAATTATTTTGTTCTTTTTTTTCCCATTCCCACCACTAGAATATACCTCATCAGGGAAGGTAACTTAAGGTGACAGCTATGTCCTTGATACTTAAAAAAAAAATACAAAGAGCATACAAAGTGTCTTAACCATATCTATTATTATAATAATGTATATTTTCCAAAGACTTATAATGTAAAGTCATAATACTGGAAAAATATGTAAAGTATGGATTTTAAATGTGAATTTGAGTTTAAAATCATAAAGGAAAATTACCAAATATCAGGCTTGGAAATGTCTTATATTATACAGGGGTCTCATTCCATCATCTCCTTTTGTAGAAGTAGAAATTAAGATGTTGAAATATTAAGTGACATGTGAGATCACAGAACTTTAGCAATAATGGGCACCTTAAACCTCATGTGGTCCAAATACTTGCTTATGGCCACCCAGCCTATATTTTAATGTCTGCCATGATAAGGCTTTCACTACTTTATAAAAGTATCCATTTATTCTTTTACTTTTTACTCACATGTAATAAAGATCTCTTTCTGTTGTTATTGTTATTGGTTTGGTTTTTTGTTTTTTTTTTTTTTTGAGATGGAGTTTCCCTCTTGTCACCCAGGCTAGGGTGCAATGGTGCAATCTCGGCTCACTGCGACCTCCGCCTCCAAGGTTCAAGTGATTTTCCTTCCTCAGCCTCCTGAGTAGCTGGGGTTACAGGTGTAACACATTCAGCTATTGTCTGTATTTTTTGTGGATATGGGGTTTCATCACATTGGCCAGGTTGGTCTCAAACTCCTGATCTCAGGTGATCCACCCGCCTCAGCCTCCCAAAATGTTGGCATTACAGGCATGAGCCACCACATCTGGCCATAATTAAGATTTGAATACTTTTACATCAATTATTTGGTTCTAGTTATATCCTTTGTTTATACATATTATGTCTAGTCCAGAGTGTATCAGAGAAGCAGCAGGAGGCAAAGAGATACTGGGGAAAGAATGAAGTAGAAGGACTGTTTAGCCCAGAACTTTCATTCTTAAAGGGTCACAAATTTTAGACTTTCACACTACATAAAATTATACATACATACACACACACACGAAATATATATACGTAAATATATATATATGTATACTATATATACATGCATGCATATATTAAGTATGCCATATAAATACACAATTATGTATGTATATATTAAACAGAAAGGTATGTATTTATATGTTGTGTCTTATAGAATTATAAGTTAAATAAAAACTGTTTAAATATGCCATAATCTTTTTCTCAAATTTTTAGAGATTTAGGAGGTATATGTGCAGGTTTGTTACATGAATATATTATGTAATGGTGAAGTTTGGGCTTCTAGTGTACCCATCAGCCAAATAGAGAACAGTGTACCCAATATGTAACTTTTCAACTCTCCCTCTTTTGCAATCCCAGTGTCTATTTCTCTCTGTATGTCCATGTGCATCTATCATTTATCTCCTCATTATATGCGAGCACACGTGGTATCTGATTTTCTGTTTCTGAGTTATTTCACTTAGGATCATGACCTCCAGCTCCAACCCTGTTGCCAAGAAGGACATGCTTTCATTCCTTTTGATGACTGCTTAATATAGAATACTGAGAATAGAGTACATGTGCAATATTTTTAATCCAATCATATGTTGATGGACACTCAGGTTGATTCTATGACCTTGCCATTGTGAATAGTACTGTGATAAACATGAATGCAAGTATCTTTTTGATATAAAAAATTGTTTTCATTTGGGTAGATACCCAGCAATTAACTTGCTGAGTCACATGGTAATTCTATTTTTAGTTGTTTGGGAATCTCCATACTGTTTTCCAAGTACATAGAAAGGCTATACTAATTTACATTTGTACAAACAGTGTATAAGCATTTTTCTGTGCATTCTTGCCATCTCTTATTTTTTGACTTTCTTATAATAGCCATTCGCATGTGTACACCTATGTAACAAACCTGCACATTCTGCACATGGACAGCAAAACTTAAAGTATAAAAATAAATAAATATGTGTGCATGTATCTTTATAGTAGAAGAGGATCATCACACACTGGGGCAGTTGTAGGGGGTAGGGGAGAGACAGCAGGGGGTGAGGAGGGTGGAGAGGGATAACACGGGGAGAAATGCCAGACATAGGCATCTAAAGTAAAATAAATAAATTTTTTAAAAAGACATAGGAATAAAAAAACAAAATTGGATATTGCCATCATTGAATAAAATACTTAGATTTTCAAAAAAATAATAATAAGTAAACAAATAAATAAAAATAATAGCCATTCTGACTGGCGTGAGATGGTTTCTCATTGTGGTTTTAATTTGTATTTTTCTGATGACTGATGGGTACCGTAATCTTTCAAACTTCATCTTTTTTTATTTACCCTCTGCTATATAAGGAACTTAAAAAACAAAACCATACTGTACTCATATTATCCTCTGAGTCTGTATCTAATCCCCCTTCCATATAATTGTTAAAATGTTTTCATACAGCACTCCATGTAACTCTCCAACCAAATAAGCCTAATTGCTCAGTTGTTCCAACATCCATCTAGATCCCACTTTCCCTTACATATTAAATTTATTGAACTCCAACATGAAATGTAGTTTCTAGAATTAAACACTTTAATCTAGTTGGGATCGTCATAGGACAATAGGGCATGGGTGTATCTCCTGATGCAGTCAAGAAAGTATATTTCTTTCAGTGCTACCTATAATTCCATTTGCTTTTTCATTGACCATATAAAATTAGATTCATATTGAAATTGATGTAAGAAAATTCTTAGTGATTTTCCTATGCTACTGCCAAGCCAAGTTTCCATTATTCTATATCTATGCAGTTTAACTTTTCTTTGGGGGAGGGTGAAGTTCCTTATATGAGTAACTGCTTTATAGTTTCTTCTTAAATACTGTTATGTTCATAGAAGGTACATATTCTGAAAGTTACATATAAACATTTAATTTAGGGCAAAAAGTATACTTTTTTTAGACATGCATCCTACCTATAAAAACCTGGTGGCACCTGCTGCACCAGAAAGCTTTTCTCCATGTCTTGAAGAATGTCATTCAGCATCCGGATGCGGATGGGCGCTCTCTCCTTGGGATCATTAGCAGGTCGCATCTCATCAGACTGAAAAAGTTCAGCACTCTCCCGCAGGCGTGACGCCATGGCTAACAGTTGATGAGTGTTGGGTTGATCACCTGGTGAAGATAAATGAGCTATCTCAGAAGAGACATTCTCAAGGGAGCAAAAGAAGCATTTTATAATAAGGACTTTAAGTTATAAACCAGACAGACCACTGAAGAAGGAAGAGGGAATTGTCATTAATAGTTATCTTCTTTCTGTCACTTGACAAAAACAAGATTATATGCATTTGAATCTTACCTGTCCAAGAAAAAGATTCAGCACCAAGTAAAATTTGAGAATATATTTATTGTTCCCAAATCATTCTGTCTAAACTTGTTTTTATTCTACTAAATTAAGTTTATCACTGCTCATAATAATAACAACAATAAACAGGTAGTTCTGCTTGTTGAAGGATCACTATATTCCAGGCACTATGTCTTCAATATTGAACAAACCTTGTTTGTCACATACATTTCAGAGAATCTGAGAATTAAGTAAGGTCAGCAAATTGTCATAGGTTATCAAACAAGTAAACAACAGGGCAGAATTAGAAGTTTGATCTTTCTGACTCAGAAAACTATGTTCACCAGAGAGTAAACTGTATTTCAGGGAAGAAAATAAAAATTGAGTTGTTATCTTTTCTCTTGAAAACCTGAGATATGTTACTATATGTTGTCATGTGTCCTTTGGGTTCATTTTTCTCTACTAGAAATGTCCTGTAATGTGAGGTTGAAATACATCTTTGACCTAAAAATACACCCAAAACTATTTTATGTAGTGTTTGCCTTGTTTTGTTTTACTTTAGAGATTTGTAATTTTGTTTCTTTTCCAATTGTTAGTGTAATTTACTAAAAGTCATTCTTAAAGGAATGGTGATAGCAAAGGTTGCACAGGACATTCCTTTGACTAAGAGAAAGGCAACACTCGTATAGTGGTCCACTGAATTCTGCAGCCAGCCTACTTGAGTTTAAATCCCTGCTCTACCACTTAGAATCTATGTGATATTGGTAAAGTTTTTGAGCCTCAGTGTCCTCATCTGTAAAATGAATGTAATAACAGTACCTGCTTCATAGATTTGTTAGGAGGATTAAATGATTAATACTTGTTGAGTTTTCCCTACAGGCAAGTGGTTCTCAGCTGACTTTATTCAAGACCTTCTTTAAAATAATTCTCTTATCATGTCATGAGAGGTGCATTCCCTCATCATCTTCTTCCAGATATCTCACCGTTAGAATCAGCCTTTAAGTGAGACAACAATTACTGGTATCCTTCTCAGAAGATTAAACACAACTGACTTCAACAAGGCCGGCACATCACTACAGAGGATCGCTTCAAGTCAAGGTAATGAAGGAAGGTAGTGCTGGATAATCTAAATTGGCAGTTTTGGATAACATTGAGACAGGCAGATGGTGTGATGAACGTAGGCCTTCTGAGGCCTCCACTAGGAGAAGTCCTGGGCAAAAGGGAAATATCACAAAACGACTCTCTCTGAGTAAAGTCCAAGGTTACCAGTTACCATAATGCTTGGTCTTTATGAAAATGCAGATTCCGGGACCTATTGATTCTTTCTGGAGGCAGAGCCAAGAATCTTCATTTTAATATGCTACTCAGATTATTCTATACATATTTAAGTTTAAGAAAGATTACAGAGAGATGATATACTAAGAAAAGAAAAACTAGATTAGATGTATAACTGATAACATTAAATATGTCTGTCAAAGAATTACCAATCTCTAATATAATGATATTTTTGATTCTCACCTTCCTTTGACGGAAACTGTTTTACATGTAAAATTCTTTAGTGCCCAGCACAGTGTTGACATTCAATAATTGTTTACTAAATAAGCAAAGTAGATTCAATAAAATATGCTTAGAAAAAAATCTGATAACAAATAATGGTATGTAAAGAGATAAGTAGTTTTATAAGGGCTACAAAGAGATTCACAGGTAGGCTTACATGAAATGTTCTTAGAGAACACAGTCATTTTTGCTAATTTTTAATATCCCAAAATCTAGTTTGAAAATGTGGTTGAAGGAGAAATAATTCTTGAAGCTAATATCTAGCTCCCTGTTCACTGAAATTAACAATAAAAATAAAATCAATTGTAGGAGTTCAAAAGATTTTGGCATTTGATGTTTTCAAAGTGCATTTCACATTCTTTAATTATTTTGTTTGATTTTACAACAAAATGAGGCTGCAAGAATGGGTATTTTAGGCCATTTAGAAAATCTTGCCCCTGAATAACTTACTCAGTGCCGTTTTATGAAAATAATTTGTCCTAAATTTTGATGGTTCACCAAAGTCAATGTATAGATAACTTCAAGGGAATATCTCTGCACAAGGCAAGAATAAGATGGCTATGGCACGTTTAGATTATTCTAGGAAGACTGAACAACAGTAAAAACTAGTTCGACATCCTTAAGAGTCTTCCATTTAAGAAAGAAAAATCTGTTCTGATCAAACGTACGCTACAGAATTGAACACATTACTACTGAATCAAGTGAGACAAATTGTACCATTCTACCTTATTTAGCTTTAAATGAATTTATCTTTGACAGTTGTACAGATGTAGAGAACTGACAGCTTTAGGAACTGCCTGGCTCCAGAAAGGACCCTGACAGTGGAAACCAGCCACTCACAACACCCATATGCATTACTTCAAGGGTGTGAGGTTACACATTGAAAAGTAGTTCTATTTTTAATGTTCACTTAATCATTTTGATATATAAATCATGCTCCAAGGATTTCTAGTAGCCGTTTCTCCGTCAATTAGAGCTTGCTTGTTCTTTTAAATAATACCAGAAAGAAATGTTACCTTTCCTCCTTATGCTTTTGTGCCCCCAAATGATTGATCTTTCATGCTCCTTAGGATCCCTACTAGAATATCGGCTCTGTGAGAGAAGAGGTTTGTGTCTGTTTCGGTGCCATTTCCCTAGCACCTAAAAGTGCAAGTTGCACCATTTAATCAATTAAAAATTAACATATACTTTTATCATAGCAGCGGCAATATTTGTATCCTTATCTGCCTTGTCTCTCTTCTTTTTCTAACTAGAAAGAACCCTATATCATTGGCAAATACATTTTATTTCTCTTTGTATCCCCAGATCATAACACAATATATGTTTTATGGTAGTCATTTATGAATAAATTTGTTGAGTGAATGTTGAATTATGAGGGATCTTTTTTGAACTGTATTATTAAATTAAACAATGTCTACAAAATCATTCAGGGAGGTGTTTGGTGCTTACTGAGCATTCACAAATGCTATTTATTTTCTTACTAAAAATCCATTATTTTTGTAAAAGAAAAGAAAAATATTTTTTTAAAAAAGAGGCTATGGTAGGATAATAATAAGTAATTAAATTAAATTGAATTAAAATATGCTCTACAAGAACCCCATAAAAACTAAGATTATATAAAACTTTGCTTAAGGTACAGGACAAATTGAGGCTGTTCACAGTTCAGGTTTAGAATATAATAAGCACATTTGAACAAAGGAAATTAACTGGAAATTAGATATTTCTCACAGAGAGGGTTAATACAATTATTTTTTTAATTATATACATGGAGTTTAAAGACCAAGGACTTGATATCAAAAGATAGATTACAGCCTGGTTTACTTAATTACTGTCAATGTAGTCATGAATAAATTACTTAATACTACAGTCCTTCAGCTTCCTTGGAGAAAATAATAATGTAAATGTCTAAGTGCATAAATCACGATATATACGTTTGTATTATTAGAATACAAAAACTAAACACAAGTTACTACCAACCCATTTTTTAAAGGCATGGAAAAAATACTGTAACAGCTTTACCAGTTATTTTTTTTTCCTCAAAGATATTACTCTTTTTCACGTCTTTGACCTGCACCCCCCAACCCAATGTATCATATTCCATATTCCTCCTCATATACACTTTAATAAGGATTTCTAATTTTATTTTGCTGTGCCTGTAAATTTGATGCCATTTTCCCCCATGGGCTGCTATCTCACACTTCTGAAGAACAAGGAAAGAAATAACATAAAGGGTAAAGGAATTAAACAGTGAACTTTAAAAAGTGATTCTTTAGCTCATTGCTCCTGGTGAAAAGCTAACCATTAATAAATTTTTATAGTGTAGCAGAATATGCTAATTTATTATAAATATTAAAAACCAAGCTTAATACAATATAGTAAAGACTGTCTATGGAAACTATCCTGATATTATTTTAGACAACTGAAATATACTTATAAATTTCAAACAAAAACAGTTTGCATTTGTTCTTTTTCTCTTCATCCCAAAGTAAAATACATGTGTTCAGTATGTATTTATTGAGTCCTATTTCGTATATTATTCTGAAAGCATTGAGAAAGAAGCAAAGACCTAAGACTAAATCTGTAATCTTAATAAATTCCTGATCTAGTTAGAAATGTACACAATACATCTAAACATACAACAAGTGTCACATGAAATAAATTCTCATGAGTATGACTGAAGAGCTCATTGTGTGTATGAATGCTCTGATAAGTGTCCAGGGAAGAAGTAAATCTTGAGAGATAGATCACAAAACTGCCTAAAGTCAAGGACATCTTAAATGAGCTCTTGACAGTTCTGGGACATTATCTACATTGAAGCAGTTGAGGGGAGTGTTCCATTTTCAAACAACATTAATGTCTTTCCATCTGCATCCTTCAGACCTCACTATTCTAGAGGATGAATCTACCTCTAACCCAAATCCTCCCATTTTTCTAGTTTATTATGGAAAGAATGGAGCTGGATATTATAAGAAGTATTCATATTATTTAAAGAGGAAGAAAGAAGGAAGGAGGGAGGGAGGCAGGGAGAGAAGAAGAGAGAGAGAAATGTTAGTCAGCAGATGTCAAAATAGATACTGAGATCTAGGCAGGCCATTTCAGGAAAGACTCTAAGACGTTCTGGAGAAAACAAATCCCTCCTACTCAAGGAATCTTCTGCCTTCTAGCCAATCATCATCCTGCACTTGAGACAGTTCATGAGGCAGTGTGGTTAGCAGATAGGTTGGGGGGCTTTGGAAACTGATAGACCTAGATTCAAGCCCAAATTCTACCACTA